AGTTACCTCAGAAGTAAATCAAGACAATCAAATAAGTAAATAAGTCAATCAAATTCCCATACTGTCCTATAAGTCTGTCCAGTTCCTTGAAATTATATGAGGTAACCTAAAGCAATTCGCAGCCTTCACTCTCCTTTCCGTCTTCAACCCAAGAGAATGTATTCCATGCAATGTATTGTGTGTGTTGGTGCCCTTACACACCCTCCCACCCCTCAAGGCTGTAGTCCATGTTCTACGTGTCACCTACTGAGAGGGACACATCGGATTAATAGCATTTTCACAAATCTGAGAAAGAACAGAAGTTACCCCGTGTCACCAAATCAAAATTGAGTTGGTTCCTTTAACCAGAGTTGTGATTCCAGATATAAAAGTGGTGGCAAAGCATTATTCACCCTGATGTCCACAGTTGTGAAGGGTCTTCTTGCCTTGTTCTGCTTTTTCCACTGAATGATAACATTAATTAAGCCAAAGACACGTGTTAGAAAGAAAAGAAAAATGAAAGAATGGGCTAAAGGTGAGGTTTAGGAAATGTTCTTTGCCGGTTGGGATGCAACTTTAACCGGCTTCATTCTTTGGTATGCTTAACTTCACCTGGCAATGCAGCTGTATCTTAGATCGCTGTTTTCAAAGAGGTATGTCCCAGCTCTATTTCCTGCGTCCAAAGCATGAAAGAATAAAAAAGTTTTTTGTTCTTAGTCTGGAATTTTAGCACTATACCTCTGGTTTCTTTCCCTCTACCCAAATCCCAACCCTATCTTTCAAACCTCTCCCAGTAGCTCCAGCTAACACAGACCTCACCCTTTATCAACCGCCTACAGTCCTTACAGTCTGTTCCATACCCAGGTCATTCCATATATTCAGCTTTATTGTGAATAACGTTCAGTTTGAACAACTCTGTCTTTAAAACCCTCCCTTCAGAGCTCTTACTTGCCTGAAAAACTACACTGCATGGGCACATGAGGAGTAACATCAAGTAAAAAAATATAATTCTTTTTGATCGTTATGATGCAAATAATCATACAATCTAGACAGGTAGAGCAAACCGTTTGTTGTTGTACACTGATTAATATCTGGGTTTTTTTTTTTTTTTGGTTACCTTTTTTCTTCTTTTTCTATTCCTTTTGGAGAGGGGTGATGGCAAATTATTAAAAATTATTATTATTAAAATATAATTTAGCATTCCAGCTCTGCTGGCTTTAAAACATTCCCTGAGCCACCTAACTATAACCTGCCTGAGCCATGTTTCCTCCCCTAAAATACTGAGCATCTGTAATGCAATCTCATAGCTTAAAAAAAGAAACAAACAAAAAACCAAAAAGGCAACAAGATTAAAAATTAGAAACTAATTCAGTTCTCTACAGTTCATGGGAATAACACAGTTTCTACCAGGAGTTTGACGTTTTCTTGCCTGAGTTTCTAGGTTGCACAGAAGCTCGTGGACCATGTACCACACTTCCCTTTCTCTCCAGTAGCAGAGCCTGCAGGTGGATGCAGGAGAAAAAGGAAGAACATGGCTTCTGGTGTCACCACGTGCCTGCAGCTGCACACAAAAGCAACTTGGGAGACATGTTTTCTCTCCGATCCTAGATTATCCTGATAGGTGTCCTTTCCCAATTGGAAAAAGAAAATCTAATATGTCTGAGAAGATAAGTAACAGAGATGTCCAAAGGCACTATAACAGAATCTCAAACCTGCACTTTCAGTAAATTTGGTTCTACTCTGAAGGCTGAGTTGTATCCCCAGAGGATGATAAATATTGTTATCTTTGCCTCCTGCTCTACACAGGAGTCTAGTTGAAAGCCATGGTGCATTAGGTAGAATCTCCAGAGGGTGGCCAGAAACTGCTACTCAGACGCTCACAATGTTTCACTGGGTTATGGGGGGAGGCTTAGGCAGAGGTCTTCACTCAACACCGGCAGGGGCATCCTGCTCGTACCTCCCCATAAGATCATGCTTTTGCATTCTGGGGGTGAACCCCAGCTCTACCACCTGGTAATACCTGTGCTGCTGGGAGAAGTTACTTGACCTCACACAGTTTCAGTGTCCTCATCTAAGAAGATGGAGGTTCTTCTCGGTGTTACATCAAATAATGTATGTTCAGCGCTGAGCAAGTACCTAGCATAGACTAACTACTTTATAAATGATAGCATATGTCCTCAGCACCAAACATTTAAGTCCATGCCCAAATTCCCTCTATGTGTTCTCAAATGGTGCATTCATTGACAACCCACAGCCAGGAGGGAACCTAGTCTACATGCAACGCCATCCACAACAAGTCTCTTTCTCCTTCTCTTCCTCTCAGTGTCTCTCTTTCTCTTAATTCGACAAGCCGGTACCTTCTAAGGGAATCCATTCTCTTGGGGAGTGGCTGGGGCTGGAAAATCTTAATCTTGAATTCTTATCTCTTTGCCACTTCCCACCCCCCAATCCTCCCACTAGATATTTAGAACTCCTTGTAAACTTCACAGGATCGAGATGTATTGAGATCTGTAGGAGGTGTTGGAGGAAAAGTGGGGACTGGGATGTTAAAAATCAGGGCAACAAAAATACCTATGATGTCATTCACCCTGACTTCTGAACCACCAGCAGCAGCCTTTCAACTTGGCTGGCGTTACACCTCACCTCTCCCAGCCTGTGTTATCACTTACCACCAAATGTAGGCCTCAGAGGGTCTTCCATTAGAGCGATTCTCACTCCTTCCCCACCTCCCCACAGCCCTATCTCTCCCTCCTTCTCTGACTTTTAGCGTAGTCAATTAAACCTGAACAACTGGTGGATGGAGGAAATATGCTGCATCTATGGAATGGTACAGCAGGGACCAGTTTCACTGTTAATTTAAAATGCTAGAATTAATTAGGTAGTGTAAATGAAGAATTTAATAAGCGCTCTTTACAACCACAAGTTCTACTTTTATTAAACACTGCTACCAAATGAGGGCAAATATCTCTGGTCTCTATATTTCCTTGCCTCGTTCCCATAAGTTCTTTGCAAATAAAAAAAAAATTTTTGCCTGAAATTTAAAAAATGCATAATTATAAATTTATGCCTGAATTATAGTTCTGCTTTCAACCCATAAGCTTCTTCTTTAAGCTCAGATGCTACTGTATGTCTCTGCTTGTGCTGGAGAGGGTGCTAAACAAACCAAAGTTGACAATTTTGGTTTTGTATACCAAATTAAAGGCTGTCTTCGAAGCTGTCACTCCTATTCAAATCCACTCGGTGAACTACCAAATTAGCATTCTTTCAGTAAAGGAATCTGCTTGTTTAAACATGTGTCTTTAGAAAACAAGGAACAACACCATGAATCAGTACTTTTCAAAAATCTCACTACAGTTCTAAGGGAATTCTTTTGAAAAGGTGATTAATAACATTCACTAATATAGCTGGCAGAGTCCCTATTTAGGAGGTAAGGCTCCACCAAAAATACATTTTCTATACAGGAGTGGGAGGAAGAATCATATGGTTAACTGGTTTTAATTTTGTTTGAATTATCATCCTATTATATAAAGATTATTCAGAAATCTAAACATTGGCTTTCTGAGAGTGCAGGCAATTCTGTTAAAGGATGGATGATCCAGCGTACTCAGATAAGATCCTCTAAGCCCTGGCCCTATTTGGAAACCTTGGTAAAACGTCTCTGTTCAGCCGCTCTCCTTGTAACCTACTACCTGTATCTGTAATAATAACGTCTCCCATTTACCATGAGACCACTGGACACGAGGAACCATGCTAGGTGGTCCTATCTATATTTAGTCTCTCATTTCAGCCTCACAATAAGCCCTTTGAGATCAATATTCTTTTCCAACTTTATAGATGAGGAAATTATGTTTGGAGGGTTACGTGACTTTTATTTCCTACAGTCATTTTAGTTTTATGATTTTGCAAAGTAATTTAATTTATATGGGAGACAGATTTGCACGTGAAGCAGAAGAACTGGAGAACACGTAGAGCAACACACACAGACTCCCCTACTGAAAATCAAGCTGATGTATCTTCCTATTTTAATGACAGAATTTCCTTTTTCTAAGATAGGCCAGTTACTTGTCACCTAATCTGCCCAGGGAAAGGGAAACAAAAGTCAGTCCTGGAAAACGCCAAATACTCAGTTGAGGGCGAATGATTTTGGGAGCAGAGCGCCATGGCACAGCAGCTGCATTGCTGTTGTGACGTAGCCATCAGTCATCTGAGGAAATATTCTCACTTCCAAAAAGATTACACGGAAACGTTACCACAAAGAATTATAGTGTCTGGCGAACATGAGGTCCTCAACAAATAGTTGTCAATTCGGAAAAAAATCAGAAGCTAAAAATTTCAAGTACTGAAGTTGATCAGGTATTGTTTTACTTTCCAGTAAAAAGTCTCTGCCTTCTCAAAGAGTATCTTCAAAACCAAACCAAACGAAATGAAATAAAATACCTCAACTGCAGATCCTCATTAAGCTTTTCCTTCTTCCTGCGGAGTAGTTTTATTCCAGAATAATCTGCTCTCCTTAGAGACTATCTCTCCCCAGGGACAATGGACTGTTGTGATCTCCTTCCAAAGTTCACCATGGCCCCCCTTTAAAACACTGTCTCAGACACATGGGAGAACACTGGACACACACAAACCAAATGCTTGAGAAGAAAGGAAGAGATAAAAACTAGTGTGGAGGACAGGGAGGGCAGAGGGCAGAACGGAGAACTATAGAACAAAGGGAAGGGGTGGCTGATTCAGAATAAAAGGGGATAAAACCAAAGGGTTATTTCACAAAAAGTAAAGCTCAAGGAAGTTCCAACATCCTCATCTGCTTCCCAATCCTCCCAATCTGCAATCTGGTTTTATGTGGAGTACACGCATGGGTGAGTTTATGACTGTGTACCCATGCCATCCTTGAATGCAGGATACACACTGCAGACATTCAGATGTATTCACCATCTGTGTGCATTTCTGCTAAGTTCTGAACATCTAATGGAACAACGTAGCTACTAAGTCTAAGCCTTGAATATTGAAGAAGAGCATACCTGTAATTTTGTCTCTCACAAGTTTGCAGGATTCTATTTCACCAATGCTCCCAAAGAGACTCCTGAATTCCTCCTGGGTCATGTTCTGGGGTAAATAGTTGACTATGAGGTTGGTTTTGCTGTCATCTGTGGCTGCTCCTGTCTGCATGGGAGAAGGACAGTTTCTATTGTTGCTGGAGGGTCCATTGCTTGTATTGGATGTCGGGCCATTTGACACCTGTGGCTCCATGGTGCTAATTATCTAAATAAAAATAAAAATAATAAAAATAAGCCTCATGAAATTTAAAGACACAAGTAAAGTCTCTTTCAAGATTTTATTTTATTTTATGTTTTGAAAAGAAAGAGGACAAGATAAAGCAAGATGGAGCAAAGGAGACTGGGTTGTGAACACAGCCAATTTAGAAGCATGTTTTTAACCAAAATGTTAAACTCCCCTTGCTATTTTTAGGCCAGCCCATGGATTTTGAACACAGACTAGAATGCAGTGGGAACTCTCCCATTATTTTGTTAATGAAAAGCTAATTCCTGTTTTCATTACACAATCACTCTCAGAAATGTATACTTAAGCCACACCAAATTATAATTAAAATGTAAAGTAATAATCATGATTAAAATTATAGTTCCATTAAAGCTGAAAAACTAAATATAGAGGGCTACGCTCACAAGATCAAATACAGTACCTGTTTATTAACTATCTCATAAAGTAAAATGACATTAAATTAAGTGGGGCAGTTCCATATGGGAAGGGTTTAGATTTTCACCGATGCTTAAGCACTGATCAAACTTCAGATTTCATAAGCACATGCTGGGGAGCTACAAAGTCATCTAATGATTTTTCTCCTTAGCCACTCTGTGACTGTTCCTCCCGGACCTCAAATAAAATGAAAGACATAAAGGTAGAGCTTTCTCTAGGTCCTACCTTAGGTCCAGCACAGCCCAAGGCTATCCTCTCACACTTTACTCGAAAAGTAAATAGTTTAAATTTAAATTAAATTTGGATTCAAATAGTTAATTAAACAAAGGTTTCCACAAATGTGTGAACTGTTCCAGGCAGCATGCATGGGAAAAAAAAAGATGAATAAATCTCAGTCTCTACCCTCAAGGAGCTTACAGCCTACTGAGGACACAGATAGGTAAATGGCTCCTAGGAGGACTGTGGGCATACAGGAGAGGAGCAATTAGCCCTGCTTTACAGGATGGGATTCAGGGAAAGTATTGAGAAGATGAAGCTAGAATACATAATACATTCTATATGGAAAACGGATGTAAGCTCATGGGGCCTGGTTAAAAAGAGGTCCTGTGTGGCATGACAAACAGAGAATCACAAAACTGCAGAGCCAGAAGGCACTTAAGGAAATAAAATCTAGTTCAAAACTCTCATGTTTGAGATGAATTCCAGAGACATCCAGTGAATTCTGTCATCACGGGAAACTGGGGCAGAGTCTGGGCCTGCACCCAGGTTCCCTGGCCCCAAATGCAGCCCAGCAGTCCCACTTTTGCACTCTATCCTATCACATTTCTTATTTGTCCTTCATGATAGGACTTCTGTCACCTCTGACCTTGACCAGTCCTTTGGAAATGGAATCATGCTCTGCCATTCACCAGCTGCGTGACCTTGGGGGAAGTGACTGAAATTCTAGAAGCCTTAGTTTTCCTCATTTGAAAAATGGGAACAAAGCCACCCGTCTTGCAAGGTGGTGACATGAGGTATAGAAAGTACCTGAATAGTGGCGGGAATGTAATTCGCCATTACTGATATTTATTAAAGTCACTCTACCAATCGTCTGATGTGACTTCTCTCACTGAGTCCTCACAAAAAGGCAATGAGGCATATCGTAATATTCGCTACATCTCATAGACGTGGAAAGCAAGGTTTAGCAGACATCTGACAACTAGCATCTTCCATTATTATCACCATTTGGCTGCTGAGAGAATTTTGGGGGGACAAGCACTTTCATATACATGTAGTTAAACATGTAAACCTTAAGGGTACAACTCAAAGAATATTTACAAAGAGAACACGATTCACACGTGAGTGTTCACCGTCAGACCATGATATAGAACATGACTAGTATCCCAGAAGCCTTTCTTTTGTCCCTACCTCCATCATTCTCACCACCACACCCACCCCCAAGGTAACTGATTAGTTTTATCTAGATTAGTTTTATCTGCTTTTGAACTTTATATACATGGAATCACACAATATGTACTCTTTTATGTCTTTTCACACATTATGTCTGGGTGTCATCCATGTCATTAGATATAGTGGTAGGTTTTATTTCTCCACTGCTGTAGAGAATTCCTTTGTGAAATTATGAAACTATCTCATTTTATTTACACTTCTGTTGATAAATATTTCAGTCGTTTTTGGTTTTTAACTATTATAGATAATGCTGCTCTGAGCATTACACACACGTCTCATGATTTACATACACACACATTTCTGTTGGCAGTATTCCTGGGAATCTATTTTCAGGTCAGAGTATATGTATGTTCTGTGCAGTAGACACTGTCAGTATCTCTTTTAAATGGTGGCACCAACTTACACCAACTGCTCCCACCAGCAGAGTATCAAAGTTCCAGTTGCTGCACAACCTCATCAATACTCAGAGATTTTGGGGGGTTTTATTTTGGTGGGTTTTTTGCTTATTTTCTCACTGAAGCAGAAGTGATAAAGTGAAAAAGAAGTAAGTTTTTAGTCACGGCATCAGCTGACTTAAGACTGTAGTCCTACCACTTATTAGCTATGTAATCTCAGGCAGGTGACTTGAATATTCTACCTCAGTTTCCTCTTTGTAAATTGGAATAAAGCCTCCCGTGCAGGTTTCTCTTCAGAATGAATGCCTGGAAGCATTACAATTGTTATTCTTCATCATGCCCTAGGTAGGTGTTCCTCTAATTGTTTCCTTTTCTGAATGATCACAAATGGGAAATGAAACAAACAAACAAAAAAGAAGTCTCAAGGGGAGTCAGGGGAATAAGGCAGACTGAGGAAGGTGAGGAGCTTCTAAGATTCTTTATCATCATGTAAGTAACTTAAGTGGCTCTGCTTACCACATCATCGGAACTTCTTGGATTCAGGTCAACTGTGAGATTCTGGAAGGCTGGTCCAGACAGCAAGGAGAAAACAAAGGGTTTCTGAGAAGAATCTTAAATCAAGCTCTTCTCAGCATTGATAGAAGCTGTATCCAAACAAAGTCTATTCTGCTGCTCTGTCCGGGAAAACACGAGGGAGATGTGCCCAAGGGGGGCACATGCTAATGGAGATGATGTCGTAGGGCATCATCACAACTCCTGGTGGGGAGGCAGGTTTCTGCTCTGCCCCACCGTTGGGCCTCCTGGGTCTGAGCAGCGTCTCCATTTGCAGTGTTGTCTCACTGCTTCACTCAGTCAGGTGTCCAGGCAACAAACACAAGGAGCACTGCCAACTTGATAAGGAATTTAAAAACAGACTTTATCCAGTTCAGGAGTTGGGGCTGGCAGAACCACAGGGCTACACACTGCTACCTTTTGACGTAGTGGCAAACAAGCCAGCCCCACAATCTCGAGAACACGTTCCCGGCTCTTCATCTTTCTCAGGTTACCCTTGTTAAGGCTGCCCCACAAGCACCTAGAAAATATCCTGCACTGAGGCAGCTTTTGGGGCATTAATGATGGAGTATGAAGAAGAATGTAAATCATACCTAAGCGTGCTGAGATTTTATGGAACCATGACAATTGATGATCACCTGAGAGCCGGGTTCATCTTTTTCGTTCACTGGATGCCTGCCTCACAGATGTGTGTTGCAAAAGCCAGCCCTCATCCATGTGAACATCTCACAGGTTTCCCTGCTCCAGAGACGCCTAGGAAGTACCAAGTCTGCAGCAAGGTAATTTCAGTTCCCCAACCAGCTTTCATCTCCTTACATCTTATGTGGATTTCCTAAATTATGCTGACTCCTGGAGTTGAGCCCCATCTATAGCCCCATCTGAACCCTAATTGGGCCCGAACCTCTGAAAAGAATGATCCACGAGATGCAGTGTTCGGTACTGAGCTACTTCAACCAACCAAACCTATAAATTAGGTCAAGTCATTCTTGGCTTATGGGAGGGGAGCTCTCTTTGCCTTGAACACATTCTACAGTTATCGTTTTGTGTTCTCAGAAAGAACTGATGAAAATACACACATGCACACTGAGTTTGCTCAATAAAAATGTACTAAAGCTGAGAAATACTTGCAAATGTGTTAATATACATCATGTAATGAGACCCCTCATTGGTCTTAATGGTGCATCCCAGGATACAAGACAGGCTTAAAAAAAGAATCACAAATGTAAAATGTCAGAATGAAATGTGACACACAAGTGAATCAAGAGGATTTTAAAACATACTCGGAAAATAAGAGAAATGGCCAAGATCTAATGATATCAAACTCAAGAAAATGAAACTATAATATTTGAAGTTTACCTGATACATCGTAAAGAGAGGACACCTGTAATCTCAACATAGGAAGCAAACCAGAGGTAATCCATACCCTCCAATAAGCACAGAGGCTGGCTCAGAAAGATCAGAACACTTCCTTCTCCAGGCTTTTGATATTCTAACAGCACAATTTTCATTGCAAATAAATATATCAGTTACTCAAGTGTGCCTATGTACTTTCATGAAACAGTCTGTGTGGGTCACATGGCCGACTTTGCAGCTGACCAGGTTCCAAACCCCTGACTTGCCCTCCTTCTCTCTTCTGAATGGCATAATTAAGAACAGAATTACAGTGAGCATCCAGGATAGAGCACTGAGGAGGTTCAGTTGACGTCAAACTCTAATGGTTGTACAAAGCACTGCATTAAATCTTTTATGTTTCTGTGATATATTTTAAGAAACATTATACAGGCAGAAAATTTCAGGGATAAACTATTAGAGCAGTGCACAATAACGCAGGCACTCAAATCCTGTCATTGTAAATGTCAATGGTTTGAATGACTAATTACTCACACTCAACGCATTAACCTCACCCCTCCCACCAATTTTTTTTTTTTTTCCCCAGCAAAATATACAACAAAAGCAAGAGGGAAGGCCTCACACATGCAGCTGTTGGATCACCACTCAGCGTCATTAATCTCTGTGGAGGGAGGTAAGAAGCAGGGGCTGGGCTCAGCCTCTTTCTCAGGGTGCTACTGAAAAAAAAAGCTCTTGATAGCATCTCCATCACCACAATCCTGGGTCCTTCCTGATATCCCTAATTATCTGCTCAATCCCACCTCTTATTATTGTCCACCCAAGGCATCTGCTACACTATTTCCTGGACTTGTCAGGTCAAATGCACATTAAAAAAAAATAGGTTTATTTACATTCTGGCTAGATCTGGGAATGTTAGATGAATAGAGATAGAGCCCCAGAATGCCAAGCACTTGTGCTGGGCCCTCAGGATATGGAGACAACAAAGACAAGGAGCTAGCCCTCACTGAGTTCATGATGTAGATGCAAGACAGGTATCAGAGAACATTAGGGACCATGGAGCCTAATGCCATAATTTTAAGGAAAAGAAAGGGGAAATGACTTGCTCAGGGTGACACTGCCAGTTAGAGCAGGAAGTGGGAACTTAAGCCCAGCTCTACGCAAGAGTACACAAGAGTATAGGGACAGTGTACAGTGTGACAGTGCAGACATGGACATTTAGATGAGGGTTTACTTTTCCTTTTCTGGAAGGAGACAGTAAGGGGTGGCCATATAAAAATGTACTTGAACAGACATGCAGAGACATGTCTATCTCCATAACTTACTGAATCTGGCACTTTACAGGTCACAAAAAGGGTGACCTGAACTCTGAGCTCCATAGCACAGAGACCACAGCTGTTTTGTTTATTATAGCATCTCCTGCATGTAGAACAGGGCCTGACGATTGGTAGGTTTGGATTAAGGACTACTGAATGAATGAAGGCCCTTGCATGCTCAATAGTTCACTACATCCTTCTAACAACCCTGTAAAGTACAAGCCAAAAAGGTGCGAAAGTTATCCCAATTTTACATATAACAAAAGAGGACAGAACACTTACTGAGTACCTATTTATATGCCAGGCATACATTTAGATATTATTTCAAATATAGATTTTAAGAGGCATTCATTCAAGAGGAGGGGCTGAATCTTCAGCTGACAAGGACCCCCTTGAGAACCTGTTGAATGTCTTCGCTCATTCTCACCAGAAAAATGCACACACATATTTTACGTACATGAATGGCAATCCTTCGTCTCCAGATTGAAATCCTCCAGTTGATTCTAAGAGTAGCAATACAATCAAAGAGCCAAACTTCCCCTCCTCCCCAAATCATTCTTTTCATATAATTTCTTGTTCTCAGAATTCATTAATTCATTAACCAAACAAATACTGACTGCTGAAGGTTCTACACGTCAGAGCAGAGAGCAAGCATGTCCTGAGGCCAAAAGGCCCTTTAAGTGTATTAGGCAAGACCACTATAAAATTCTGAAAATGTATTTAAAGCCTCCTTTAATATTTCTTTCACCATGAATTTCTCATGGTGAAATGAATTTCTCATGAATTTCTCACAGCTCCCTCTGTCCCTCAGTCTTGACAAGGTTTTCATTTGCTCAAATTTGGGGAGAGTCAGGCTAGAGTTAGAGGGCTGGTCCTCCTCCTCACAACTAAGGACAGTCACTGTCCCGGGCACCAGAGAACCACATTGGAGGTCTTCCTGCAGCCCCCTCACCAATTCTGTCAGCCATACTGCGTGGTCTTGCTCTAATATTTTCCACAAAAATGGCAGTCCAATAATATACTGCACAGTTTTGCATTTACACATCTTAACCCACTTTACGCTCTCAGGATTTACTTTGTGAGACACATATAAGGTTCCGACTTTATGTTACAGGAACCTGGGCCACTGTAGAACTCACTACTGACATTCATCATCCACAAGCTCAGGGAAGGGCCCTTCTACCCCCATCACGGCCAACCTCAACTTCTGGTTTTCTGGCAGAGGGGTGGCCATGATGCTCGATTCAAGCAAAAGGATCAAGAGGAAAGAACCTAAGAAGGTCACAGGAATATGATGCTTCTTTCCTAAACACTCTCCCTTCTACCTCCAGCGTCCTCTAAATGTCAGCATCCCCAGAAATGAGAACGGTGTTAATAGAATGTTCTGATTGCAAACATGTCTCAGGTGTGTGCATCTGAGACACACACACGTACTTTGTTCAATATTTTAATGAGTATTTAAAGGTGTTTTCTTTCACCATGTTGGAAGGACTTTTGAAAATTTATGTATAAAGGCTAACCCTTATGTAATAGAACAAGCGCTCCCGAGAGCATGAAGAATAATGTTTACCAAGGGCAGTCACTGAATCGAACCATTAAAGAAATAGATTTAAATTATTCATGAGGACAAAAATAAAAGTCCTAATTCTCTTTGTAGGCATTTCCCACTTAACCCTTATAAAATCCTGACACGCAGTATGTCAGACACTGGTGGTGCAACCCAGACTAGTGCAACTAGCCCGCCTTTTGAAAGCCTGAAAAACAAATCCCCAAAGTTAGAAAATTACATAGCAGGCTCTGTGTTCCTGAAGACAGATATTATTTTTAGGAATAATTCCTCACTTCTCTTCCTGCTCCTTGAAAGATACTAAAAATGTCCTTACAACCCCCCAATTTCATATTTTTTAAGTTTCGTCCATCAGCTCATAAAATCCGTACTCTCCCCTCCTTCTCTTCAAGAGGCTTTAATTCGTTCAAATCCCTTCAGATTAATATTTTTTTTTTCTAAATGCAATGCTTTCCTGGTTATGATTCAACTGGGAAGGAGACACATGTTATTAATAGGGCCCAGGAGCAGGGGCTGAGATTGATGACCTGATCACTCTAGGAAAAGGGAACTTGGGAATATACCCACACCCTCACCCCCAAACCAGATTACAGGTGATGATTCACAAAGGTCCCTGGAGCAGAAGAATCTGGCTGACGACTGCACTCGTGTCTCTCAAAACCATTTGTACCAAGTTTCTGTAATTCTGCTGGAGAGTAACTAGAAAGCTCTAGAAAAAATATTTAATTCTAACTGGGGAAAACATGCTGACAGTTTAATAGTACCTTTGGGTAGATGCACAAAT